TGTAGCCCTATGACCAACGTTTTTTTATTGTTGACCGTTAAGTGCTGATGTGATAGTTCACGGTACTGACATGATAGTCTAGGATGACATATCAAAATGACGGATGACATGACAGATTGGCTAAATTGATAACTCAAACATGGCATATGGACTGCCACGTTAGCACCGTGAATTGACTCCCCAGTACTGTAACGGTCAACTAAAAAAAGTTGGCCAAAGGACTAAATTGGATTTGTTTCTAAGTTGGAGAGTCACATTGAGAGAAAAAATAATACAAGGTTCACATTGATTTTTTTAAGGGTAAAGTATAGTAATGGTCACTAAACTTTTCTAAAGTTTTCATTTAGGTCCCCCAACTTTTAAAACATGCAATACAATCTCCTAACATTTAGTCTGTTTGCAATATGGTCCCCCAAAAGTTACGTGGGGGACCATATTGCAAACGGACTAAATATTGAGGGATTGTATTGCAAGTTTTAAAAGTTTGGGGACCTAAATGAAAGCTTTAAAAAAGTTCAGTTACCATTACTATGTTTTACCCTATTATTTATTGTTTTTTATTATTAAGTTTATATATGTTTTTATTGTTTCTTTATAAGTCTTAATGGGAATCTCATCTGCTTTTTCCTTAAAAAAATAATTAGCTCCGCCTATCATCTACTAATCAAAATTCTATTCGTGTTTTTGACATAATGAAAAATTAAATATTGATTTTAAAGTATGATTAAAATTGAATATTGAATATAATTAAATTATTTGATAAAATATAAATTTTAAAAGACAATATAATTTAAAAAGAAAAAGAAAACAAAAGGTGTTTGTATTATGTGATAAGTAGTTTTTATCTAGTTAATAATTTTATACAGTTTAATTAAAAATTCATTTGTAGATTTAATTTATACTATTAAACAGTTTTATATATTAAATTATTAAAATAATAATTTTTTTATTAATTGAAAATTTTCAAAATGTTATTTAAGAGATCTTAAAATTGAGTTAAATTATTTAATTAGCTCTGTACTAGTTGAATCTTAATTTAATTAGAATATTGTTTTGACAAAATTAGTATCTTTTATAAGTTGTAAGTTTGAATATATTAAATTTTAATTTAGATGTTTGTAAGATTATGACTAATTAAAAAATTGATTTTAAAAATATTATTAATTTTTTTTAATAGAATGGTTAAAAATATTATAAAAAATAAAGAGGAAACCCTATACAATAACAATATTTAATTTATAAAGAGATAAGGGTGGCTCATTGGATTCTGATGAGAATAAATTTTATAATAGTTTTAATTTAAAATTAAATTTTAATAAAATACGGGGCAAACTCGATTCTAATATCTAAGCGGCTAAGCCTAAGATTAATATATAATAATAATAATAATAATAATAATAATAATAATAATAATAATATAATAAGGGTAAAGTATAGTAATGGTCACTGAACTTTTTAAAACTTTCATTTAGGTCCCCTAACGTTTAAAACTTGCAATACAGTTCCCAACATTTAGTCTGTTTGCAATATGGTCCCCGACGAAACTGTTAGGGGATCATATTGCAAACGGACTAAATGTTGGGGGACTGTATTGCAAGTTTTAAAAGTTTGGGGACCTAAATGAAAGCTTTAAAAAAGTTCAGTAACCATTACTATATTTTACCCTTTTTTAAAAGTACAGGGATCTTTAATGTATTTTTTTGCCTATTTTTGAAGTATATAAAAATATCAAAGTGTACATGATATATAATTTTTGATAGTATGGTGTGATTTACAAGGAAATATATATTTAAAACTTTTTTAGCTAATTGACAAGGTATATATTCCCTACAACTCCTTGAACTTAAAACTTTTAAAGATAACAATATTTTTTTTATCATTGGAGTTTCATGAGTTCTGACATATTATTATATGTTTTAAAAAGTAAATTTTACTAAATTATTCGATAAAGTTAATAAAATAAATACGATAAAAATAATCAAATTATAGTAGAATTAATTTTTTGAAAAATATATAATACAGAGGTCTTCAATATAATTTAACCATTGATAAGCATATTGATATCACTTTTTGTATATTTAAATCTATCGATATTTTTTATATTTGTTAATCATCTATGCAAAAGAAATACATTCATAATAAAAGGTTGTCAAACTTATCTATTTATATTTTAATATTATCATACAATTATATTCGTACATTTCTTTTCTCATTTATAAATTAAGGTTTTGGATAGGATTAATCTCGGGTTTTGGTTAAATCGGTCTTGGGCACAAATCAATACAAATTTAGATTTTATTTTTGATTTTAGTGTTATACGAGTTTGAGTTTTTCAAGGATTATATTTTTTTGAAGGCTTATTTTTTTATTTTTAACTGAAAATGACGAGTTTGGAACATATCGAATAATCGAGTGACCATTTTATAACTTTTAATAATTAATGCTTAATAAAAAAGTAGTTGAGAGATTTAACAAAGCAATGTTCTATAATCATATGACCATTTTTTAACTTTTATGAATGGGACGAGACATTATATAAAAATCCAAATGATGAAAATCCTCAATTGTAATCGACTTTAATTTTTTTTCAGTCTTCTTTAACTACATAAATCCCAAAAATAAATGCATTGAATCAATATATATATATATAAACAGTAATATAATGAAATTAATAAATAGGAAATTATTCATTAACTTTATCTCATATTACTTGGTGTATTGATTTATCAACATCTTCCTAAAAAGAGTTTGATTCATTTGAAATTGATTTTAGAATAACATAAATAAAAGTAAAATTTGATAAGAAAATAGTAACTAATTATATAAGTGAGAAATAATAAATATATAAACAATAAGTAACTTTACACCTTCTTCGGCCATAACCGATTTCGGTAACATGTTAAAGCTTCCACAAATGATGGATGGATTATATTACATTGTGTATTCACAACCTCACTTTAATATCAAAATTAGATTCCAAAACAATAATAGAAAGTAGTATAATAAAAATATCTCTCACGATAGCAGAAAATTAAGTCCCAATTGTTATCTATCAATTTAATATATCAAATTTTAATTTTTTAAGAAAAACATATACTTCTAAATAACGATCAATAATACTCCAAACCATGAATTAAAATCTCCAAAAAATTACAAGTATTATATTCAGTCACCGACATGACCTGACCTAAAATTTTAAACACAATAAAATTGACAACTTTTGAGCCGAAATAATATATACAAAATTTTCAGAGTTTATTTATTTTAAAATTAGGCTTCGTTTCGGAATGCTTATCCAAATGAGCTTTTCCAACGTAAAACCACCGTTTTCTCAGTTTATTGGTTTGAGTCTATAATCACATTTTAAACATGTATTTTTTTTTTACTGAAAATGAGTTGTTTGGAAATACTTTTATTTTTCAAACGGAATTTTGGACCGAAAACACTTCCATAGCCATTCTCAAACGGTCTATTAATTAAAAGATAGATATACCGTTAAAATGGTATAAAATGAATTTACGAACTTGACTCTTTGTAGTTCCAAAAAAAATGCATGCCCACTAAAATAAATATTTACTTTACTATAAATGACTAATTAGGACTCCTCTGTTGATGTTATAATTTGATCACAAATGATTTGAACATTGAGCTTATAAATCTCAATAGTACACATCTACTCTATTATATTTAATTAAGTTCACAAACATATGTAAGTAGTGAGGTATTATAAAGATAAATGTATTAGCTTATCGGCTAAGTCAAAATATATGATTGGTACTTAATCATATAACAGGTTAATGTCAAATGACATAAATTTGTAAATCCTCCAATGTGTTCCTAGGGTAGGTCGGATTTTCAGTCCACCTGACCCGAAAATTATAAATCCTCCACCCGATCTAAACCCAACTCAAAAAACATACATCTTCCATTCGATCCGAACCTGACCCGATTTTTAGAGATAAAATCTGAATTCGATTCGACCTGACCTGACCTGAAATAATATATTTATTAAAAATATTATTTTTATTCAATAAAAATATGGATTTAATTGAAAGAAAATAACATATAGATGGTATTATTGCAATTATCCCTAAATATATAAGGTAAACTTGTAATTTTTTCGGGTCTAATCGGGTTGGATATTTTTCACCCTAAACACAAATTAGATCCTACCCGATCGGACATGAATTTGAATTTTTTTTAAAAAAATTGACTCAATCAAATCATATTAAAACCATCGACTTCGAGTCTTATGTCTATCCCTATGTGTTTCATTATTTGTTGCCCTCATTTTGTTGACATACATGATACATGCATTCATAATTGTTTTAGAACCCTTTGACTATTTTCAGCTGAAGTATATATTGTGGTAATATATGATTGATCCACGTGTCCTGTCAATATTATACTTTAATGACACTAATCTCGAAGGTAGTAGAGTAGAACACAGAAGCAAAGAACATGAGAAACACTAAACAGTTAGAAAGTAAAGACACCACATTGAAAATTTTACAAAAGTAGAAGGGGCATTGATACTATTAAACCTAAACTAATTAAACTAATTTTATTTACAGAAATAGTCAATCAACTATTATGTATATAAATCGAATTGTATGAGGTTGTATCGATTTAGTCAAAGTTTCATGTATAATATACTGAGAATTCAAGTATACAATAATATTAAATATTTGATAAGAAAATATGTTGTCCATTTGATTTTATATAATCGAATAAAATTAATTTTTACTTACATTGTCAATCGAATAGACGATAGCCATTCATAATAAAAAAAATTAAAACATTTGCAAGAAAATAAATAAATAGCAACACATGGATTTCGTCCTTCGGTCCATTCCATATTAACAAATGAAAGTTTATTTATTTTTAACGTAAACATTATAAATAAAAAAGAGAAACTAAAAATAATAATTTCTCATTGTTTCTCTATATTTTAGTTTATTTTCATTTTTCCCTTGGCGACACTGACGATTTAAGAAATGAAAATCAGAATAAAATTATAAAAGTTCATATGTCCAAGAGTCATAATCAACACCCATAGTTGGGTTCTGAATTAGAGGAGATGGTAATGAATGAAGAGCTGGCTCCCTATCACTATCATCATCATTATTGATTAGCAAATCCCAGCTGCTGAAGTCATCAATATTCCACAGCCTCAAATTGTTGCTATCAGTATCGGTGGTGGTGTGGTCAGAGGGCCATTCAAAATCAACAGGAAAGTAGTGCAAATCTTCGAGGAACTTGGAAGAATTTGTAGCAGAAGAAGAACACGATGATGATGATGATGATGAAGAAGAAGTGGATGGAGCAGCAGGGACCAAGATTTCATAGGGTTCAATCAATGGAACTTCATCAATGGAAAAACCATCAATATTATCATTATTCATCATTGCCATTGGGTCAAATAATGTTCTGGTCATGGTCTTATCTTCCTCTTTTGGTTCAGGCTCCTTGGAAACTTGCTTCTTTTTCTCCTGCTGTTCTTCAGCTGTTGATAATGGCTTGTGGGTGAGAGGATCGATGCCCATTTTCCTCAGCTTCTTCTTGATGTGAGTGTTCCAGTGGTTCTTGATCTCATTATCAGTTCTTCCAGGGAGATGAGAAGCAATCTTAGACCATCTGAAATTGTCAAAATAACTAAATTATTTAAAAAGAAAAAGAAAAGTGCCATGATGTAAAGTAAAATAATGAGTTGAAACTTGGGACCATTAAAAAAAAAGATGACTTTTTTTGTAGCCACAAGAAATTTTCTCCATTCCTCTAAAGCTTCCTTGGTTTTTCAAAAAGAATGAGCAGTGATGAAAGGGAAATGAACCTGTTGCCAAGTTGAGCATGGAGATCAATCACCATTTGCTCTTCATCTTCAGATAAAAGTCCTCTTTTAAGGTCTGGCCTTAAGTAATTAGTCCACCTCAGCCTGCAACTCTTGCCGCACCTTAACAAACCTGCAAGTTTAGGAAGAGTTCGCCAGCAGCATTGGCCATTGGTGAGGATGAAGGTGACCAGCTTCTTATCTTCCTCAGCTGTCCATGGCCCTTTCTTCAGCCCTACTTTCTCACAACATGGTTTCCTTCCCATCTTTCCTTGTAAACTCACAATTTTCCCAAAGTGAGGAGTCGAATTTTACCCAGCAAGAAAATAATTATCTGGAAATAGAAGAGCAATCAGAGAATTCTTGAAGCACTGATCCAAAGCACAAACACAAGTTCCCACCTTGTATTTATAGATGAATCACCCCTCTCTTCTCACGTGTATATCAGTGAAGTAACGCGAAACACACGTGCGATTTTTCTGTATGAAAGCTCTATTTCATCAACCATAGGGTATGTAAAAAAAAAAAAAGCAAGAATATTTAACATAGGATCGAAAAGATCGTCGTAAGGTACACATTTTCACATGTATTATTTTAATTATTGCTTGTAGACTAATTTGAATATGTGCAAGATTTGTTTACTTTTGAGTTTTGTCTGATAGCCTTACGTACCAAGTAAAACTCTTCCATTTTCTACCTCTGCCAAAAGCAGGGTTTGAAGTGGGATTATCGTTGAGACAGCCTAACCAACCATTTTAATAAACCTCTTTGATACTTTGATCTAGAAATATTTTTTTAGAGTAGATACCACGGCCGGCTCTGGGTATTTTTTGGCTCGGGATAAAATAAAAGAAATAGACCTCTATTTATGTTCTTTATTTTTTGGCCCAGGACGAAATAAAATAAATGAGCCTCTATTTATGTGATATTAACATGCATAGCTTAGATATTACTATGGAAAATATTATGAGCCCTGAGCGGGCGCCCCTCCTGCCCCGGCCCAGGGCCGGCACTGGTAGATACATATATGCTAATAAAATTTTTAGGGTGAATACCAATAATAAAATAAATAATTATTCGAGGGAAATTTGAATTTCAAGAGAAATGCATACCCACTCTGTTTGAATCCATCATTATCTCTCACACCTTAAGTCTTCAACATGTACTCTGTTTCTCGCACAAATTCGTCAATTTCTTTAGTTGATACGATGGATCGAAAGAAAGAATAATAAACATATTAATCTTTTTCTTATCATCTTTATTTGTTTTTACAAATCTAAAATTTGTTTTTAAATTCTCGTCAACTCTTATCAGTCAGCTTCTTATGTGTCAATGGACACTAAACAAATGCATTGAACCTCAACGATTATGAAAGTAATTTGGTATTTAAAACATCACTACTATTCAGATAAGAAAAATCTCTAAAAAAAATAAATCATTAATAAATTAGAAAGCCGATTTGCTATTGTTGCAACAAACAAAATTCTTGCAATATGATATTGGGAAGATTCAAACAATTAGGGGTGTAGGTTGAGTTTGAAACTGTTAGGCCATTCAAACCCACTTTCCCCATGGGGAAGATTCAACAATGAAATTCAACTGTTAGGCCATTCTCGGTTGTTGACGTATCCCATTACGTACATTGGTTTGTTACGAGTTAGGTAAATAAATAATTGTACTGAAACACATAATTCAAAAAATCTTAAAAGAAAATTAGGAAAAGAAATTCACTATAATGTCAATATTATAAAAGGTTTGCACCTTCGAAGGGATTTTTTGTGGCTTCTTAGTCTAAATTAATAACTCTAATCTCTATTATCTATTTATAAAATCAATTTTTGGTTAGAAATAAATTTTAGATTACAAAAAGTCTTATTCAATATGAGTTTCTACATTCAATAAAAAAAATTAAATGTAACACCTTAAATTCATCGGACTTAGTGTATCACGTTAGGCAATCAAACCGACATGTACTTTTAAATTTTTCCTTTCTTAAGCATTTATACATTTTTATTCATTAAAAGTCATGGGTTCGAGCACCAACAGTTGCAGCAGGGTGATTGAGCATTTATTGTCAAATGATGGAGAGTATATAGAACATATACTACTTTGTAAACACATTAGCTTAATTAAAAAAAAAGTCATAGTAGCATTGAAATATGTTTACAAAATCAGAGCTATGTTTATCAGGTGTTACTTAAAATAAATCTTAAAATATACATCATGAAATTCATAAACATGCTAGCAGTATATATATCTCATCTAATGAGTTAAATCATCTTATCAACCTCGTCTAACATAGTTTAGCAGTCATCCATCATCCTCAAGCGTTTTTAGCGGCAAAACGGTCTTTCTCAACTTTCAGCATCGATACCATATATATCAATTTGTCACACCCAAATCTCAACCATTGAGCAAAACACTTGTTATTATTTTACATCGCTTGTGAAATTAATTTTTATTTGACGTATCAAACAATACTTCTCTTAATAAATTATGTAAGTGGAAGCATAATCACCAGGTGTACATAAAATTATCATTTACGTGTTGAATATTATTCAAAACGTTCAATGGTTTTACAAGAAAATTATTTCACTTATGATTGGGACCGTTTCTTCCCAGCTGGAATCAAGTAAAACAATGGTCCTATAGGCCGGTTTAGGATACATTTGGCTTTGTTTTCAATAATAATAATACTAACAATATTGACAAATATTATTCAAAACTTTGTTTAAATGCAAAGAAGATGACATGGAATTTGATATTTCTTTTCTGGTAATTTTATTTTCTTCTTGTTATTTTGTTAACTTGTTGCATGCGTATAATATGCGATATTAATGAAAAATAGACATTTTTTGTGAATTTTTAAATAGAAATATATGTTTATAAAACTCACAATTTACTTTAAATATTTTTTATTCATTTTTAGTTAATGGTTTTCTTTTTGACAAAACAAAGATATATAATTTATTAATTATATTTGAACAGAAAAAGTCGTCGAAATCAAATGATTCTATTCATACTTGCGGAAGGTGGGGTTTGATCTTGATATTTCCCAATTCTTTTTAAAAAAAAACATAGCAATGCTAGCAGAGCTGATAAAGTTGGAATCAGTAGCGTCAACTTGTCTGATATTTATTCAACCAGGAACTTCGAAACATGGTTTCTCTTTTGCTTGTTTGATTTTGATATCAAAAAATAATTTAAATAAATATGGATTTATGTATAAGAAAGTTAAATTACTCAGGCACCATAAGAGAAACTGTATATAAGATAATATATATTTTCAATTTATTATTAAAATAATATCATAATATTATACTATTCATGCCTTTTGAAAGTATGCTGCCCTACATGACACTGAAAAGATGTATTAAAGAGACAAAATAAAGACATGTTAATAAGAAAAAAAATTACATGAATTTCGTTCAAAAAGAGAAAAATATATATATATAACGTACATCTATGCATTTTATACTCAATCACTCGATGAATGTATTTAAAATATTATATTTAAATAATATAAAAATTAATTTGTAATTGATATAGAATTTGATAATGCAAATCTAACATTTATATCTAAAATTGTTTAATGCAAATCTGATGAAGTATTGGTTTCTTTCGACAATAAATATTCATGAAAAATTTCATAACTCGTGTCATACACCGCTACACATCATTAAGACAATACATCAAAACACACAACTAATTAAATTATTCTTATTAAGTAAATATTAAAAAGATAAATTACATATTTTATACATAAATTATAAAAATTTTCACATTTATAATATTATAAATGTACTTTTTATAATGATTTTATATAAATTTTATAAATATATAATTATTATTTTTAAATAAAATGAAAATTATTCTTTTAATTTAATAATGATTTGAGTAAGTATTAAGTTCAATATAATAAAATATATTTAAATTATAGTTAAGTGATTAAGCTTTGGGTCATTAATTTACAATGTCCCATATTTTAATTTTATAATCATAAATAAAATTTTGATTTTATGGTGATACCATTATATAAGTTAAAAACAAAATCTGATGAAACTTAACTAAATGACTAGTTTAGTTTAATGGTCGAGTGATGTGTTACTCGTGTAAGAGACCTAAGCTCAATTTATATTATGTACAAAACTAGTCTATCTTTTTATTCTCATATGTGGTGACACGTGTCATCACCTGATTGATTGAATAAAACTAATTAAAATATAATGGCGAATAAAGAAAAATGGAATGTGATAATTAAAAAATAATAAAAAGTTAGCACGTCATGTCACGTAAGGAAAAAAGTGATAATCTAAGTACAAAATGTATAATTTACCTTTTATATTTACTTAACATAAACAATTTAGTTAATGGTGTGTTTCATGACTCACTTTAGTGATATATTACGGTGTACGACGTGCGCTATAAATTGATCCCTAAACACATATAATATTTTACAAATGCAATATAAAAAAATAACTAATACTTTACTGAAATTTGTAAGGAGAAAAACATATAGAAAAATATATTTGAGAATTATAAAAAAAATACATATTGCATTTATGTTTTTCTATCAATCATGTAAACATAAATACAACACTAATCATATTATATTTCAAAATTTGGAAAATAATACAATACATGTATTAATACATGGATTTAATTGTATAAATAATCATATTATTAATTTTCTTGATCTTTTTTCTATATTTTAGATTAAACATTTCCTCCTAAATATATAGAAAACTTTGAATAAGAAAAGGAGGAAAAAAAATACAAAATGTAGAAGATAAGGAGAGAGAAAATAAAACGCGGTATCTGAGGTGGAAAAAATTGATTAGTTTCTACAAATGAGACATCAACGGTAGCAGTCTTCTCTTCTCATGCTCCACTTTTATTGATTAGTGGGGTTCTCGTGCGACCTAAAACTTGATGTAGGATATAAAATTAGATTTTATCATTGTTGACATATTTAATACTTTTATAAAATTTAATTATATTTTAAAAAAAATCTATTAGTATGAGCCGATTACAATACAATATCTATTTAATTTTTTTTTAATTATTTGTCAATAAATACTTCAATATCTTTGACGCGCTTGAACTTAAGAGCACTGAGGTAATTTAGTTCGTGCAGAATTTTAAATCTTAAAAGTTCAAATAAATATTCTTAAATTGTTTTATCAAGAAATATTGTAAAAATGGAATCTGATTAATAATTTTATTAGATAATTTCAATAAACCAATTATACGCATGTGAAAACATTTTAAAATTTAATATTAGAAAATTACATCATTCAACCAAATATATTTTTAAGAATATGTGTCCCCAATAAACACAAA